TTTATAGAGTAATTAATCTTAATGATGTAACTCATGTGCCACAGGGAGAGATCAGTCTATCTCTGTCCTTCTGCCACTGTATCTCCACTGACTATACTGGCAGTTTCCTCGTGTGCAGCCCCATATTGCCTCACAGAACTCAGGATATTTACTTAATTTCATTTTCAAATTCAGGCCCACAGAGCTACATGAGATGCCAGGGCTTGAAGGAACAGCAGAGGTCTCATAGGAAAGCAATTCCCATTCAAAGCAGGGGTGTGACAGACACTGCAGGAAGCATCAACCAAAACCTGTGGACATTGCAGGAACGTGAAGCACAGAACAATGGGGTTTTACAACCACGATGATACAGTAAAGGAACACACCAATCCTTTTCACAAAGTGCCTAGATACCTCCTTTATTCCAGGACAGCATCCTTCAAGAACAACAATGACATTTACAAAAGCCTATTTGAAGCTGAAAAGAGCCCTCCAGTGAACTGGTTTCTGTTTGTCAATGTCTCACTGTCATTTTGCAGTTGTGCAAAGGTGCTGAACAGAGGGGGATAATTACTATTTTTGTCAGTGGTCCTGCTTATAAAGTCCAGGTTCTGTTAACCACCTTTTTTGCTGGCTCATGTTTTGCCTAATGAAACTCAAGGACCACCAGTCTATTACCCTCAGAGCCTCTGCCCTGAAACCCAGCTCTCTCCCCTGACCCCCAGCTCCTGCCCAGTGTCACCACAGCCTATATTTAACTTGCTCACTGTGGTCATTCCAGGCAGGGAGAAGCTGCTCTCCTGAGGCTAGCCCACAAGATTTTGTTTCATTCCATAGTACATCAAGCTGAGTGGTCAGTGTCACCCCTGAACCCATGGTGCTGTGAGCCGGCAGGGCGGGGTTAAAGTTTGCAAGGCCTGTGGTTTTTGTAAGGCATGAAATGGGACCGCGAGAGGCCAGACCCAGAAGGCTTAGTAGGGGTCTGCCCATAGCGTGGTCTTTGTTCAGACTTGGTCGTGGGTGATTAGCAGAGAATAAGCATCTTTTGTCAGGGAAATTGATCTGGGAGGAGGGGGTTG